ATTTCTCGCATTTTTCATTTTTTTGTGTCGATTTGTTTATCAAAAATTTATGCATTCTTATTGGCTGTTTTTTATTCAGATGGGAGTTACATAGTGAATCACGTGTATTTCAAGGATGCGCTGGATGAATCGTAATTTACATGATCCGACCCTTGCAGATCACTGGATGGATCGTATCTGACCCTTGCAAATCACGTGATATTCAGCATGATCCGATTCCAGTATGATCCCCCACATAAAATATACTTAATTTTGTGATTATATTTTTCTATTTCTTATTAAATTAATTTATATTTAACCAAAAAATCAGATTAATTCACAAAAAAATAATATATATAATAGTTAATTATAGTTAAATCTCTCTATAATTATCATTTTAAAAAAATAAAATTGAATAATTATAGAGAAAATATAACTATAAAGAAATTTTTTTACTATATTTATATATATATAAATAAAAAAGTAAAATAAAGTAAATATAAAAGAATATAACTAAAGATAATATAACAATTATTATAATGTAATAACAAATAAAGCATTACCTAATTGCAACTAGAGATAACACAGCAAATATGTGATACTTATTTGTCACTTATTGCAACTAGTTATAACTAGGTAATATTTTATTTGCCATTATGTTGAAATAGTTATCATGCCATCTTTAGTTACAACATGTTGCAACAGATGACAAATAAGTATCATATACTTGTTATGTTATCTCTAAATATAACTATAAATAGGTATAACTATAAATAAGTTTGACTATATATCAGAATTCAGATTATGTATCTTGTAATCTATTTATATTTTGTTTTTTCAAAGTTTTCTTTCAATAAAAATAATCTTCATTTTTTTGGTTATAATTATAAAAAAATATATAATAATATATTATTTGCTGAATCTTATCATATTATTATTATTATGACATGTTATATATTATTTAGCTAATTGTTGACATACTAGAGCAAAAGATCAGTTAGATAAGTATAGTATTATTACTATAAAAAGCTCAATATTTATCTATAATAATAATATTTCTCTCATATAATAATAGTATTTACAAAGAATAATGATTACTATAAATCTAATTGATTTTTTTAAAATATTTTAATTGGTCCTTTATTATAAATTAGATTTATATTATAATATATGCTTAATATAAATCCTTTTATTAAGATTTAGCATATGTTCTATTTCTATATTTTAATTAGTTCTTCTCATGTATTTAATTTTTCTTTGTGTTATATTAATATGCTCTTGTGCTATATTAAGTTTATTTCATATTTAATTAGTTTTATTGTGTAATAGCAAAGGAATACCAATAGTATTTTAGTATTTTAGCATGTATTAGCACTAAATTTAAATGTACAACACTTGACAAGTTAGAATAACATTGTGTGTTATTTGTAATATATAAAAATGTATTAAATTTTAATTGGTTCTTTTTGAGATAGAAATAAATATATAAACAATATGTATTTTAGCTTAGAATTATCATTTAAATTAAGTTAACAAGATCAAATATTACTTTATAAAAATATTCTTTAATAAAATTAATTAAAATTTGATTGTAACTTATATTATTTTGATCTTTTAATTATATCATCTTAACAAGAAACTATTATTTGTATTTTATTTGTATTTTATTCATATTTATTACTTGCATTATTTATTTATATTTGCATTATTTATTATTTATTATTTGTATTATTATTATTTTTAAGTTTTTGAGAGATGTCAAAAAGACATTATGTTATTTTTATTTTTTTGTGTTGCTAATCTAAAAGAGATAGCATTTATATTTATTTTTATTATTTTTGTATTTGCATTTTTATATAGCTATCATTGATCAGTACTTCAGAAAAGCTTTGATAGCTATTGTATTTATTTTCATTAAATTTTTTGTATAAGTTATATACAATCCCATTATTTTAATATTTAATATTTAAATTATAAGTTTTGATAGTCCAGTAATCTGATTTTTTAATTGAATACAGTCATTCATCATATTTCAGAAATATTATTATAGGTCATGACTCTGAAAATGATAATAATATATAAAAATATTAAGGATAAATTTACATGTTATACTTGAAAGTTAATTTAATTATTAATTTTTATTATGCATAAAACAAAGATATACATATAAAGATACATTTATATGAACTTCTAATGGTTATTCTGATCACATGCTTATATTCCTATTGGTAATTAAGATGCCAATTTTGGAGTCTATTTATAAAAATAAAACAACTTCAAACTGATATAAAAATTTTTTTTAATTGTTTACACTAAATATTTTTTATAAAAAATGTAGATAAATCAAAAAAGAATAGTTTTAATTAATTGAATTAAAATTTTATGCTTGTCTTGTGGATTGGGAATTATAATTTGTATTAATCAAATTTTTGTGGATGGCTTTTAATTTAGACTTTCCGAAATATTACGTGATCGAGTATTTTTTGCATTTACTAATTTTCACCCGAAGTTGTGATTGGATACAAGTAATTTCCATTGCTGATTGGTTGACTGCACACCGGATCTTCTAAAGCAACCAATAAAGATGCATAAATTTTTGATCAACCCGGCAAAACAAATCCAACACAAGAAAAGCTGGAAGCAATAAAAAATGTCGGGAAGACAATTTTATATATAATCTTTCCACTTCTAACCCTAACCCTAACGCTAAAACTAATCTTTAATATCCTCAGCCAATCTAAACTTCGGGTGAAAATTAGTAAATGCATTTTATTGGATAATTATCACGTGTTCTGATTTTTTTTGGTGGTTACGCTGAAGTTCCCCAGCGTAGTCACTCACAAACCAATAGGAACGCGTAGATTTTCTGGATAGCACAAACCAATAAGAATGTGCAAATTTTTTATCAACCTGGAAAGACAAATCCGACGCAAGAAAATAAAATACGGAAACTTGAAGCACTATCGGGAAAGCCAATTTAAAAAGAAAATTCCTTAAAAGATCGACAATCAAGAGGACCAAATAGGTTAATTTCATGGGGTAATTGTGCGCGATAAAATAACCTTAAACGAATCACGTGAGGGTAAATATAGAAATATTGAATTAACTTCTATATTGTTATTTCACAAAAATGTCAACTTCTGAAGTTCCAAATAGTGTTCAAGCATACATTGACAATGCTCTAAACAATAATTCAATAAACAGTTGGTCTTTTATTCTGGGTTTTTTACTGGGGCAAATAACAGTTGTGTTGTTGGTTCTTGCTTTTGTAAAATTCATGCTATTAGAAGACTCGAAGAACACAAATAAAAAGGTTTTTTTTTAAATCTGGAAATTGAAGAAACTTATATTTCATATTATTTAGAAAATTGCATTTTACTTCTTTTTATCTGTATCTAGCGCCCCATTCTATTTCCTACACCATCATCATCTACAAAATCAAGCTCAATACCATCTACGTCATCTGCACCATCAATTATTCTTTCCAAAACATTCTATGATCCCATTCATCATCTACCGGAATCAACAGATTGGTTAAATGTTTTATTGGCACAAGCTATAAATCTTTATCGGGATGATGCTCAAACGAATAATCGGTTGCTACGCGTCATTGATGAAGCTTTGAATAGCGGTCTTAAACCTGATTTTGTGGTGAGTAAGCCATCATGAAATAAATTTATCCACTATTATAAATATCTATATTTTGATTGTGAGTATTATTGCATATTTTCTATCGTTAGTAAAACCCAAAAAAATAGAATTTGATTTTTTTATCGAATTATATGAAATACTGATAATATTGATAATTTACGTATTTCTGTAATATATAGGGTCCGATTCATTTAACTAAACTTAATCTTGGTGAAGAATACCCTTTATTTAGTAATGCTAGAATAATGCCAATAGGGAAGTTAGGAAGAGTGGTGAGTGAAGAAAATACAAATCAGATTAATTACTTAAATGATTAATTAATTATAATTTATTTTTTTAGCGTGCAGAAATTGATTGTCAATTTAATGATCAAGTGTCACTAGGAATAGATACACAAATTCTTATTAATTGGCCGAGACCTCGAATCGCAATTTTACCTATTTCATTGATGCTGTCTGTCGTCAAATTTTCAACTACGGTACGGTACTTGTAATAATTCTTTTCATAAAAAAGACTTTTGCTAATTTTGATTTATTAACAAAAAGTTAGCTATTGAGATTGTGAATCCTCCTGAAACATCATCCTATGTTGCTATATCTGCATTGCCTGACTTTATTCTAGAATTTGACGTTCAATCCTTTATTGGATCACGCACAAAACTTGAAAGTGTTCCAAAGGTGACACAATTGATCACATCTAAATTAAGGAATTTATTTCTTGATCGATTCGTATTCCCCAATTTCAGAAAAGTTGAATTTCCGGATTTAATACGGAAAACCCCAATCATACTACAAGAAGAGAGAAATAATATCACAAAGGCGTCTACGTCATCGTCATCATCGTCATCATCCTTATCTTCAATAAATACGAAAAATGATTTTGAGAATGAAATCAAACCTTCATTACGTACCAGAATCATTGCCAATGATTACTCTATGAATCAAGAATCTGAACTTTTTCTACCACCCTCAACATCCTCAAATTCACGATTTATCTCTTCAAAGATTAATAAACCAGTTTCTGGTATAGTAGGAAAAGATCCACCTTTTAATAACTAAGTATTTACGTTTACATTAATTTATATTTTTTATATTTGTGGCAAGCTAATTTTTATTAAACGCTTTACATCTATATAATAAAGTTCGTTAATTTTATTTTTGTTGTGTCTCGGATCACGCTTCACGTGTTTACCTTCGGCCAACACTAACCTAATAAACAAAAATTAAACTAATCTTTACTCTTACCTATATGTGTATTTAACTACCGAATCTAAAAAAGTTATCAGAAGAAAAACATTTGTAGTGCTACTGTGAATGATTGATCAAAAAGCGTTCCAAGGTAACTTAATTATTTGCGGAGCAAAGGCATTTACGTGCTACAAACGATAAATAAAAAGAACATATGTGAGGCGGAATAGCAATACAAAATGATTTCTGAGTCGTTAAAGTGACGACACTCCATGTCTAACCAACACGTACACCCTAACATGACTCATTTTTTGATCCTTTCCTGAACATGTCGCCTTTTAGTTGCCGGCTCATCGCTCCCTATCCTTCAACAAGCCTACTATTACCTCTAAAACCCTCTTCACCACTCGGATTCTTGATAGCTTCTTCGGTGAGTAAGACGTGGTATTCGGTTTTAGTTGTGGCGTAGACACCTTCGGTTGAATATAGGAAGAAGTACCAGCCGGTACGATACCATACACGTATTCAGATTTCCGTTTTTTCTTCATCATATCTGGGGCATAAAAGTTAGTATTACATGACTGAAATTTGCGTGACGGAAAAATGACAAGAAAAAAATATATTACTTACATCGCACGAACTTTTTACATTGCATGATATTTTGCGCTACCCCGATTCCTAGTAGATTTTGTTTGCCTTCAATTATTTTTTCCAAAACATCGTCGATTATTTTTTTGATTGCGTAGTCGACACGATCAGAGCTTTCACTACCAGAGACATTCATTTGAGGAGAGATGCTTAAGCCTTCGAAGAAACTGATCGCTATATGCAAGATTGTTGAGATGTATTCACAACGCATAGCTTCGTTATTATCAACGACTGACCCCATGTTTTTAATCTGTGAAGTATGTTGTACATACAAAGCTTGAATTCCGTACTGTTTTCATCGATTGGGTTAGTGACTAAGACCGGGAAAGGTGAATATGGATCACTTTTGACAAGAAAATGAACGGAATGTGGTATAATGACCTCCATTGCAAATGATCGCTTACCTGGTTTGAATTGCGGAATTTTTGTTACTTCACTTAGAGTGCGGTACGACGAGAACGAACGCTTCTTTTGCTCAGGGAGAAACTTGACCTGTTTTGTGAGTTTGTTGCTGGACCTATTTTCAACCCACATTCTCGGAACTTGCCTTCGGTCATATCGAGGAAGACTTACACGTCAATCTCTTGCTCACGGAGGACATTGTGATGCTTTCCTCAAATTTTATTTGTTCTCGCAAAAAAATCGATAAATTCTTCCGTACTCCATTTTTCGACAGTAATCATGACTAGTTTATATATGGCTAAAAATTATGCGAAAGAAAACGTTCCACGAACTTCTATGCATATCAATCGGATGACTCATAATATTTTGATGAAAAACGGATTATGGTGAAAATTTTGGCCAAAATTGTGCAGATCATGAGATCATTTGGCCAGAATTATCGATAATTTCTTATAATAAAAAGCAATATTTTGAAAATAATGATAAATGCATATAATATAACTTGAATTAATTTTGCAATAATATTTATATTGCTATATACTGTATACTATGTAAATTTATGAGTATAAATGTTATTCATAGTTTATTATAATAGGTTTTACATTATGTCCCAAGTAATGGGACTTTCAGCTTCTAACGTAAGAGTTGAAATTCCTCAAGAAAACCAATGCCTAAATCTGTCTTGGAATACTAATTAAAAATGTCGGGATGGCAATTTTACATATAATTTTGTCTCCTCACCCTAACCGTTACCCTGACCTTATAATCATTAAAATCATTAATATCATTAATCGGGTGCGCTGAAAATTTAAGAGGATTGATCACATGATGGACTACGCTTTAACCGCTCTATTTGAAATTTGGTTTGTCCTTGTTGTGCCCCAAATCACAATTGTCCCAAATCACAATCGGCCCAAATTAGAATAGGAATATGACCAGAGTTAGGGTAAGGGTTAGTGCTGAAGGATAGGCTATATTTGGTTTAGATTTTGATTTGGGATATATCCCAATTGTCAATTGGGGCAGATTGTGATTTGTGGCACAACATCCTGACTAATATACAGTTAACCAATCAGCGCTAGATAACGTGAGTCGTGGTCCATAAAATTCTTGTTACATAATTTCAATTTACAGGTTTTTTATAAATACAAGTTGTTTGGAATGCGGGAAGAAACCAAAGTATAAGTCACTGATAAATTGATCTCAATTTGTTATTCTTTTAATTTTTTAACCCTAACTTGTTCTAGGAAAAAATTATCAAAGCTACAGAGATCGCAAAAACAATCGTGCATTGGGGTTTTATCCCGTTTGTGATTTATCTAGGTAAATAAATATTTACTTTCTTTTTCCAATTTCAATTCATTTACTTTTTGATAAAAATAGGTTATACTAGAAGTAATCCACAGCCATCGTTGATAAGGTAAGTTTGTTTATTTCATATGTTTCTCGTATTAATATTAAGATGCTTCAATTTCCTAAAATTAATTATTAGGATGATCAGTCCTCTCGCATAATCTATATTAGCTTGTTCTATTACGAAGCTTTAAATGCTAATATTTCAATCATTCTAAACTAATATACATGTATCCGTAAGCATGTAAAAAAGTGTAATTCTGAGTAAAATATACTTTTTGATCGTGCGCAGATAAAAAGATATAATCAAACGTTTTGATCATTTGTTTTTATTAATGTCTTTATTAAGAACAAAGGAATTAACATGCATTATATTTTTTTTTTCAAAAAAGAGTCAGAAAATCACATTATAATAATTATAATAACATTAAAGCGGTATAACAATTCAATCACGGTGAATTTTTCATATCTCTTATATCTGTAATAACCCTTAAACTAAAACAAAAACTTTCCCGAGAAAGGATTTACTTGGAATCAGCAAAGCCGACCTACATACAGAATATAAGATAAGAATAAAATCGATCAGCATATAGAGATAGATATTGTACGTAGACACTTACTCGTTTATTTCCAAGATCGTAGATAGTGTAGTATTTGCGGAGGAAAGCATCACCGACTTGTTTTATTACAAAATTCAAATAGATAATAGTTAATAAAGAAAATAGCAATATAGTAGCTGGACAATAGTCTCGAGTACTTACTAATCCAAATAGGACCAAGAGGTTCAGGAATGTCCATACCCATAAAAGCAGAAATGCATTGATTTTGAGCTGTAATCATAAAAAAAAACCCATGAATAAGAATAAATTGAAAAGTGATAAATCAGAAACTGAGTCCATCAATTAATTAAATTAAATACCTCTCAAGATATAATCTTCACCAGTTAATTTGAAAGGTTTCTTATTAAAGAATAAAGTAAACTCAGGCAGGCCTTTTACTTTATCACAATCAAGAATATATTGACCAGAGAAGTTTTTCTTTGCTCCAATTTTCTTGTTAATCAAATCCGAAATCACTGTGGGTACAGCTATAAGAGAAGTTCCAGTATCAATAGCAGCTCCTGTGTCTTCAAATTCTACTTCATCTCCACCGAATATTACTTTTTCAAGTTCCACTTCCCAGTAGAAAGGTCTGCGAACATCGGCCCAATGAATGTCACCGGTGAAACGAGATTCATCGTATCCACCAAAAACAAGTTCACCGCCAACTTCTTTGTTCTTTTCAGCATCACTAAGCCAAAAAGAGAAAATTGGCTCGTCAATAATTTTACGATTCACCATGTGATAGAATGGAGGTACAACCCCCTGAACCGCGATTTTATCGTGAGCTAAAAGAAGAAGATAATGTTTATACATCTTTTATTATATCAACAATAAAAGTCTTATATCCTAGATTTATATATACCTAGACCAAAGATACCGTCAAATCGGCCGAACGCAAAAGTTAAACCAGGTTCTTTGACGGATTCTCCGAAATCTTGTTTCTCAACTTCAATATCACCAACTTGTAAGACATCCTATGAAATATATATAAATATAAATAATATAATAAAGATAATCTTCACTTGAACTATTAATATGAATGAGATTAGACTTACGTTGCTAATAATGCCTTCTAAGCTACCACTTCCATATCGAATAGCAAATGCAGTGCCATTCTTTTTAAAAGTGCTGGAATTATTGGAATCAAAACGGCGATGAAGGAAGCATGCGATGGATGAACAATGAGTTGATGGAACCCACAAATTTGACGAACCGGTGTCAAAAATAACCGTAAATTTTTGTGGCGGAGTTCCAAGTGAAATTTCCCCAAAATACTATATAACCACATGTTAATAAAACTAATCATAAGTGACCCATTTAAATTCTCTTAATTTACAAACCTGTGCATTCATAAAGTTTGTAAGAGGTACACCGTGCTCAATATCAAAACTTGAAGTAACTAATTTGTTTGTGTGTTGCAAACGTCGCGAACTACTAAAGTATTTCTGAGTTAAATACTCTCCGGACTGTGAATACCGATGAAACTTTTGAGAAGGAGTCTCAGAAACTTTCTTCAAGGTCACTCTATATTTAATTGTGGAATTAAATACGACAGCGCGATATTCTAAGCAAGTCAAGTTAAATTTTTAGGCAATACACAATATATAAAGTATAACGAGCATTACTTGTGAACGGCCGCATCGACAGACAGGCCGAGTATAGCCACTATCATAACCAAATTAAGCTTCATGTTTGTATAGCAATTATTCTGTTTCTTTATTGAGATGGGAAAGGCTTAAATAAAAGAAGCTAAATAAAAAGAAGCTAATAAAAAGGACGGAGAATTCAAGGAGTGGAAATAAAATATAATAAAGTGGACCTAGAGAAATATACGTAACAATTAGACGCCAAAAACGGCGTATTTGTGCATTAGCAGGTTTAGACATTGTAATGACAAGCCTTAGTTGTGATGTAATACTGATGCAATCAATGGAACCATTTAGTTATTAAAGTACAGATAATCTTTGTATAACTGAATAATTAATAATAATAAATAAGACTACACTGTAGCATTTGAAATAATAATAATAATAATAATAATAATAATAATAATAATAGAAAACTACATACTATTTTACAAATCTATCATTAATGTTTATATAAAGTCCGTAGTAAATGAACTGAAGAAAAAGTCTAATGTTCTTTAAATAATGCCAATATCAAGATATCTTAAGCACCACCAACAATAACTCCTCGATTTACTACACCTGCCGTCACAGCACCTTCGTTTCCGGTCGCAGATCGACTGTTGTTAACATTGTTATTATTATTATTATCGATAATTTTTTCCGCTAAAGTTGCTGCTGTATCCACCGATGAAGATGACGATGGAGGTAGAGTTGACATTGCAACAATTCCGCTTAAATATTCTACTTGTAAACATCTTTGAACTAATCTTCGTGTTGTAGATGAACTTGTTCTATAGTTTCTTTCAATTGTACCAATCAAATCAAGAAGTAGGCTATAAATTTGATGTTGTTTGTATCTCAATCTAAACAATTGTGTATTTTTTAATAAAGGATACAATACTCGAAGATAAGTGTTTCGTAACTATTTTTGCATGTAAGAAGATAAATTTATTAATGTCATTATATAATTTGATATTTTCAAACGAAAAATCAATCGGAAATAAGACACACCGCTTCACTCTCTTCCGGTAAATCATATAATTCTCTTATAAATACATCAACAAGTACCATCAGGTCATTGGTGTAAAAATACTCGTAAGTTTCTGGTGTAGTGAAAATCTGATAAAGTAATTTCAGTATAAGCATTTGAATGCGTGGTTCAACTATAATAAATAGAAAATTTATTAATAATTGTAACGAAAAGGTTTGAATTTCAATGAAAAGAAATTTGTACCACAACGATTAAGCATAAAAATGACATTCTCGCCAAATGTTTTACTGGTTCCAATACGAGCGGCAAGAACACTTATCACTGTGTTGATATTGGATTCTTTATCGTGATCACAAACTCCATCTTCTTCACTAGCGTGTAATATATTAGTCAACATAAATTGTTCATTGAATGACAACTGTTTTTATATTTAGAGGTAAAAAATGAGAAATTCGGAATCAAACGCATAAGTTATGACCTCAGGTAAAAAAATATATTATTAAACTTACAGTTAACTTTATTATAGAATAATTGTATGTCTCATCATGTTCATCTCTTGTCTTTTCAACCAGATCGAGTAAATAATTTATTAATAGTTCATCGATCATGTCTATTTAAAAAGATTATTATTATTATTAAGATCAAAAGATGATTAACAAAAAATTCATTACTACGTTCCTTCAACTTACAGAGATTACAGATTGATAATCTTTGAATACAACAAATTTCAAATAATAATTGTATGGAAATCTTTTGAATTCTGTTTCCTAAATGCAAATAAAAGAGATCAAATATTATAATTTTTAAATATAAAGCATATAAGAAATATAATTTTGTCTTACCTTCCAATTCCCATATATGCATTCTCAACTTTTCGAAGAATTCATTTTTTCTTCTATTTATCATCACTTTGAATATTTGCAAGTTTTCCTTACCAGCAAAAAGCAAAAGCAGCATATGATATGTAACCCACAACTCTTTAAGGTTATCACGTAGCGCAGCTCGATCAATTATACGTCCTAACAATATCTCAAAATATTTTGTGTACATGCGAGAGTCAAATAATTTAAAGCAACAAATAGCTAAATCTGACTCGGTCTCAAGATATTCATCTAAGGGCGAAAAAGAACATTAGGAACATATTAACGATCAATAACTTTTCAAACACAAAAAAGCATGAAAATTCATAAAGAATACCTTGGAACGTCGAAAGAAACCCAACGTACTCATCTAAGCAAGCTTTTGCAGCTTCAATGTTTTGTTCTCCTCTTATGAGGATGTCCTCAAGTTCTTGAAAAGAGAACGAAAGGGAATGAGTTTATGTCGAGATTCTAATTTTACAAGACTATAAAACATACCAGCCCAAAATTGCTGCGCGTTTTCTAAGTGGTATACTATAATAAGTTCATCCATTTTTATTATGAATAAGAAAGGGACATGGGAGGAAAAAGATAAATTAGGTATAATAAATTCGAGACACGCGCTCGTTGTTTGTATTTATAACTAGACACATTCTAATTTGTTGAAAAGAATGAATAATTTTGATATTGTACTACATGGTTTATATTACGTAACACCTATACATAAAAGTACCGGAAAATGTATACCAGGCAGGTTGGTGTGCCGGAACCAATCAAATTTATCCTGACAATCATAATAACTAATCGTACCAAACATGTGACATTGCACGTACGGATGGGTCGGATGGGTGCACGTGACATTGCATGTATGGACTCATACACAAAATCTCCTCAAGATGTGAGATTTTTAACAAAAAAAATTATTAATTGTAGATTTGAATATAAGAAAATGATCTTTTTATTGAATTTAAGTTTTAAATATATAACATCTGTAATGTAATATGAATTATATTTATTTAAATAAATAAAAAAATCTACTGTTACAATTTCATAAATGATTTTTTTGCACGCTCTAATAAATTCTCCATCGCTATTAATTCATTTGTTACTTCTTCCGCATTATCCAAATCATCATTGATCACATTTTCACTGTCTTCACGAATGGATTTTTTCGAATCTAATTTCTTTATTAAACTTTTTTTTTAACTTTGTCCTAAAGATAATTTAGGCATATTAAATATTTAAACTGACATCTTTGCAAGCACAAATAATAATAATCATGTTCGCATGCCAGAATACTGCCATTAAGTGAATCATTAGTAACATTACAATACTCAAAATCATATAAAATAGCAGTATTTGGTTTCCTAAGAATAACAAAGCCTCTTGGAAGATAATGATATTATGATCTGGAATTATCTTTAATTCCTTAATTTTAGTCATGTAAAAAAACATAGATTGTAGAGATTGCAAAAATAACAGAGTTGACTGACTTGTTTGAAATATCTAATATATCATATTTATCTTATATATATAACATATCTTATATTGTAATAACTTAGTCATAAAATATTTTATATAAATAAAGAATCTTTTGGATAAATCAAAAGGTATCAATTGATTAATACAAAATTTAACTAGTTAATAAACCACTTCTTTAATGAATTAGATTTAGGACTTTGTATTACATGTAGTATAATTTGAAAAATTCAAAAAATTATAAAACTAAATAAAACTAAATAATTAAAAAAATTTTTTTCAAAAAATATTATTTCTTGAAATTTTGACTATACTACATGTACTATAATATAAGAAATATTTTAATTATAAAATTACTAATAAATATCAAGCACAAAAATCATCACAAAAAAATTCTATAAAATTATAAAAAATATTTAATTATACAAAATTTTTAATACATAATTATATATATTTAAAAAATTATTAAAAAATATAATTAATATATTGAATTATTAAACAATTACTATTAAAAAATATTATAATATAGTATAACATACTATCAGTAATATAGATAAATTCAATTCATTAATAAAATTATATATTAATTGATTTATAATTATTAATCTTATTATAATACTTATATTTATTATATATATTACTAAATATTTAATCAGTTTGCTATAAAATATTAGTACTATATTATTATAAAACTATCCATATACTAAGTAAATACAAAGAAGATATTTATTAATAGTAATAATATTCTATTTTATTAAATAAAATAGAAAAAGATATATTATATATTGATTTTAAAATAACTAAATTGAATTCAATATTTATAAATTGAATAGATATTGATTAAATATTTGCGTTATGAAAAATCTATCAGAGTCTGAATTGTAATAATATATTAATTATAAATAACTGAATTAAAGTTAATATTTAGAAACTAAATAGATATTAATTAAATATCTATATTATAAAAAAATTTATCAAAATCTAACTTATAATAACATATACTCAAAGAAAAAACTCAAATATATAATTTAGTCAGCTGAATAATATTCAAACTCTTTCTTATCAAAATCAAAATAAATAAAACATATATAAAAAATATATAATTAGAAATATAATTAAATTATAATAAACTATAGTTTAACAAAATTCTATTTTGTATACAATAATATAAAACAAAGAAAAGTAAATATATTTATTCTTTAATATATCTTTTATGATTCTTTTTTATATTATATAAATTAATATCACTAATAACAAGTATTTTTAATATCTGCATCCTGAAAATCTAATATTAATTCTGATATAATACAAAATCTAACTGAAAATAATACTAATTGATGACACAATATGAATTATTTCAAATTTATAATATGAAATATTCTTAATTTAATTAATCAATTCTTTCAAATATGTGATAATATTATTATTGTGATATGTTATATATTATATAACTATTTATTAACATACTAAAATAAAAGATTAATTAGGTAAATATAATATAGAAGTTTAATATTTATTTATAATAATATTATTTTTCTTATATAATGATATTATTTGATAAAGAACAATAATTATTGTGGCAGATTAAAATAAAACCAGATTAAAACGAAACAGAGTGTGATGTTTAAATAATCATAGATCAATTTACTACAGATTTTAATGCTATACCCTATGCTCTAACCTAACCCTAACCCTTCTCTGAAATTTTTATTCCATAAAAATAAATCCAAATTTTATTTTGATTTGATTTTATTATAATCTGGTTTCGTTTTAATCTGGTTTCGTTTTAATCTGTCACAATTATTATAAATTTAATTGGTTTTTATTTTATATTTTTATTAAATAGTTAATTAATATATAATTTATAAATTATGCTTTTTTTAATTTATATTATTTTTTATATATTTCATATTATTCATTTATATTTTATATTGTTATTATTTTATTATTTTAAAATATTATAGAGTTATATAAGAGAGAATTTATAATATTATAATAGATTATTTAATTAGAGTAATTATGATAATGTATATTAATAATAACAAGTAGAAGAATATAATATTTCAAGTATTATATTATAATTATAATAAGTTTAAAATAGTGATAATAATATGTTCATAATGTGATTTACTAGAATGAGATCTAGAATTTATATTGAAAGTGTTTATTAAGAAATATTATATAATAAATATTGTCACCGATTCAACATCGTTAGTTATTCCATATGAAAACACGTGAATAGAAGACACAGTAACGATAAAAGATTGGTTATAATAATATTTAGATTACGTGTCTAGTTCGATAACATTCTACTTCTTTCTTTTTCTTTCTATTTTATTCTTTTTCTTTCTCGTATCACT